AGCCTGAGTGGCAAGCACATGAAATGCCTGGTGCCATCAGTAACCATTTGACAGAGCTTCTTGTTAATTAGCTCCTACCTCCCGGTGAGAATTGTGCCGTAGCTCCTACCTTGCGGCAGGCACTCGGCACAACACGGCGCTGAGCCTACCAGAAACACGTAAGGCACTGAGCGCTGTACTAGCACTTAGATCCCACCCGACTACACCGCTGCATCCAGAAAGTAGCAGGCATCCCCTCCTTCACGTGAAGCTCCTTTCTGGGTCCTGGGCTCTATCCTGAAGCACTGCAGGCAGGGTGCTGCAGGCACAGGGTGCTGCAGGCAGGGTGAAGGAGCTGAAGTTTGCCCCTGCCTTGTGCCTGTCGGGGAAAAAGATGCTGAAGCGTCTGTGGTTGCCATGAGAATAGGGATGGAGAGCAGGGATGGTGAGCGCTGGGAGCAGGAGTGACTTACAGCATAGAAACTGCCTTCCTGTGCAGCTACCGCAAACTACAAAAGATTTTTTAAAAACCCCAAACCATACAGACCTCCCGCACTGTGCATTTTGAGACAAAGCAGTTTCATCTGCTACTGGTCTCATCATTTTCTTCCAGTGTCTAGTAAGACCTCACAGTGCACGTGCTATCTGTTCCTAACGCGGTGCTGCTTTTCTCTTCCACCGAGAGCAGAATTTTGTATTGGATACAGAAGAGGCTGAAACTTGGGGCCTGTATTTACACATTCTTAGTACTAATGCATGTTGTATTGCGACGGGACCACATACAATAGCTAATGTTGTACTCAACAGGATGCAAATCACATCAGCTAACTACTTGTATACCTGTTTTCAAAGCAAATAGAGGAAGTGCACTGGCAAAGTTCACACGTACCTGCAGTCTGTCATGTCCTGGCCAAAGAGAATCCTGAATTTCCACAAATAAAAGCTTACAACAGGAAAAAGAAGGGGGGAAAAATAGAAATGGGCTCTTACAGCTGTCAGAAAAGTCTAATAATTTATACTAGCTGAATGCAGGGAACAAATATAGATTAATAGCATCTCTTGGGATAGTCAGGAATTAAAATATATTCATTCATTTTCATCAATGCTTCCCTCTATTGGAGAGTGATTTCCTCCCGATTCCCTTCTCAAACACACAAACAGCAACACAAACAACCCCAGAGAAGTCCAGGGAGTTACACTATGTTGCTATAAACAAGAGGATAATTCAGATGTCTCTACAGTTCTCACTCAGTTCTCTGGCACGGTGCCTTTCCCCATGGTGAACAGAGATAAGCCTCTTTAATAGGTAAAATCTGGGAGAAGGAGAGCGAGAGGATGGCCCAAGGGCAGCAGAAGTTGATAGAAAAATGTCAGTAGGAGCTGAGCAAGCACAACAGGAGGGGAGATGAAGCACAGGGAAGACATTTTATATGATTTGTGGGCTTAGGAAAAATCCTCACTTACTTATTGATATTGCTTCTATAATTACAAATAAACCCTTTGGCTAGACAAAACTCAAAGTTTTTCTCACTTGGGAAGTCATTCAATCTCCTTGGTACGTTCACTCCCTCTTTGCAAACAAGCGTGGTAGGACACCACAGAACTATCTCAAGCATTCTCTGATATTTCAAATTTACTTTTCATTTCTAATACACTTTTCATCCCTACCTGATCCTAGGTGAGCCTTCTCACCAGAAAAATACTCCACACGACCCCGAGGAAGAAGGCTCTACCATAGTCTCTTGTAGGCCTGAAAAAACCATTTCAAAACAGTGAGACGACCCCGAGGAAGAAGGCTCTACCATAGCCTCTTGTAGGCCTGAAAAAACCATTTCAGAACAGTGAAAGGAAGGTCACACTCCATCCGTCCCAGTTTCACCCAGGTGTGACACTCTGCTTGAGATACAGAGGACTCAGTCCTGTCAAGTCCTCCTGTTGTGCGTATTTGCTTATTATCCTCAAGAGGCCGTTGGTATAAAGGGGCACTCTGCCTTGGCCAGATGCAGGCCCTGGTCATAGTCTACAGGAGCAGGAAACGTCTGAATGAGCAAGACTACAGACACACAACGAAGTGAGCAAATCAACTTCTAGTCCTCTACAAGAAACATGCAGAATCACAATCAAAAGGCCTATGTATTGAATTAGCTGAAGAAGCCCATAGCTCAAAGTCCAGACTCAAGACCCGGGTGTGAACCACAGTAAAAAAATCTGCCGATGACCTTCACAAGAAGATCATCTGATGACATATGATACTGAGAAAGCAAGCATTGCAGTCAACCAGATCATATCAACTGTCCTATGACCCACAGAAAGTTTGTTCCTGACAGACAAGGAGAGCTCAAGAAATCCTGAAAAACAACCGAGCCACAAGAAGAATGATACCACTCTCCTTCTAAAAGAAAATGCAGAATCTAGTATTAATAAAATCAGCCAGTAACTTTTATCAGGGCAACGTACGTACCAAATCAGTTAAAAGATACAACTACAGGCTCAGTTTCAACAGGACTGTACTCCACCCTGGCCATCTCTCTAGCTCTCATCCCATCTCTAGACTCTCAAAAGACTTTGGAAAGCGTGAACCATGGAGTTTCAACCACAGGTGGCATCAGCCACTGCCTCAGGAGCTTTACGTACACGGCTGTGTCGATGCACAGCAAGGACACAAACCCAGAGGTCACGCACGCTCTGTCAAAGGTGACAGCTGGCAATACTGTAGCTCCAACCATTTCTGGCCTCCAACAGAAAAGGGGTTGGGGGAGGAAATCACCCTCCTCTTGCAGAGCTGCCACAGAGCCATGGTGAGGAGCAGCAGAGGTGACAGGCTACTGGTGTTGAATAGACAGATAGGAGAAAAGATGGAAAATGAGACTTGGAAGAAAAGAGGAGGATGCATGTAGTCAAGGGCTGAGGGTGGAAGTTTAGAGAACTGAAGACTGAGGTGAACAGACAGACCATATTGAGCAAATTTTTATTAGGACAATAGAAAACCGATACCGAGCAATACATTGCCCTTGGAAATTTAACTTTCCAAGTTAATTGTGTTAAACATCATGGGACCATGAAGTGTAACGTTTTCCAGGAATATTTTCACTAGCAATCTTCATGATGCCAGAGGGGTGACAAAGAATAGTATGAAAATACAAATTTAAACGTTGACATTCATCTTTCACTCACTGCACTGACAATTAGATTACATTAGGCAATAGGGAAGGTGCTGAAGCTACTCTAGACCAGAATAATATTCTGTTCTCATTTGCACAGATACAAATGAGGAGAGAAATTAGATAAGCAGATAAGCTAGTAAGGGTGTCCATTTCTGTATCCGCTTATTTGTGTGTAATATATGCAATGTCCTTCCCCCCGCCAGTTTGCTATTTTTAGTTTGAACACAGCTTAGTACCCCAGTGAATCATATTTCCTTGTGCCTCCAGAGGCAAATACATCTAAACACATTTCAGAAGATCACTTCTTTCCACCAACTCCGCAGAACAGTACAAAGATCCATCATCACTTAACATGCAAACCCCAGAGTTAGAAGTGCACAGAGCAACGTCAAGCCCATGGTTGGATTTGGTCTCTATTTCCATGAGTTTGTCAGGAGCAGAGTCTGTAACTCAAACAAGTGATTTTTGCACAGCTGGAGTTGGCCTTTATGTTCAAATACACTTATCTGGTCACTGAACCAGTGTTTGTTTCCTGGAATAACCACTTACGGAGCGTCTAGATTAGAAAGTACAAAGATATTGGCTAAATTGAATTAAAGGCAGTCAGTCACCCCAAATCAGACACCCACGTGAAGGTATTTTCAAATACAGCAGTATCACACAAATGGGGTAGCCTCATGTTTAAAACATAGGACCGAGAGCTATTAGATCTTAGTTTCTCCTCCTACTTCTGCTGCTTCTCTTTTCCTCTTGATCTCGAGTAAATTATTTATTGTCAAGATTTACATTTCCCCAGATTCAAAAAGAGGCAGTTAGACTCCCTAGCTTTAAAGAGCAGTGTTGAAATAATTAATTCATTATTCTTTGCATAGCAGTCTAAAATTATTAGATGCTGCCGCAGAAATGCATATTATTAGTGCTATTATATTCCACGAGCAATTCCCAAAATAACTCTATCTTGGGTGGAGCTAGAGTGTTCTAAATTGAAGTCAGTGGTACCTCGAGTCTTGAACCAGCACCTTTTCGTGGCGGTGTAAAATGAAGGAAGGAAAATAATCCAGTTGTGATCATAACACTGTTTCTCTTTGCACTATTCTACCCCCATCCTTTCTTTCAGTACTGTATTATGCACACGTTAACCTTAACAATGGCAAGCACGTAGAAGGAAAGACCGTTTCAGTAAGCCCAACAGTAAATGGCAAAGGGCCACTGTAAATTCTGCACATGAAACCAATGGGTTAGCTCAAGCCCCGCTATAAATGGTGATGTGACCAGTATCATATACTTCTTTAGAAAAACATTAAAGAAGAATCTTTTAACCGGCTTTTTCAAAGCTTAGCAAGTTTTGGACTCAATGGTTGGAAAAATGGCCTTCTTTCAAATTATGTGGTTTGCTGAGAGGTCTCTCTGACACTCCATCAATTGGATCCATTTGCTTGTGTGAAGGCAAACATAACCATCTCTGTCACTGGAACTGCTTTTGCTGCAAGTGCAGACTGGACAGCTGTATACAGAAACGACCAGTCAGATGTTTACTAGGTCAGGCTGTATCCCTGCTCAAATGTATTTTCAAGATAGCCGCATCAACAAATTAGGGGTACAATTACAGATTCCAGGCTCAAACAATTGACTTTGAATAAGACTGCATGTAAATCAGGGTGAAAAGTGATGATCGGTAACTTGGTACATTATCATATTTGCCTAACGAGAATGACAGGATGAATTAAATTTTCATTATCTGTGGGACCAGCAGTTTTGAGAGAAACCGTTTTTGTGACCATTTTACTTTCACAACTTTTTAAGAGGAGTATTCTATAGCATATGAATGCAAGACAATACCTCTAAAAGCCCCGTTACCTGTTGGTCATCTGGAGTCCATATGCCACAGGTGATCTGACTCTCCAAGTTTATTTCTGAAGACCAGTGTCTTTGTCCGCTGACTGAACCGACCAGCACGAATCCATCTCTATAGGAGATAAGTGCTTGAGTCCCATCATGGCTCCATGTAAAGTCGCTTACCTTAACATACCAAAGACAAGAAAATAGATATATGGGCCGTGTAGGAATTTTTTGTTTTAATAAGAGGTAGCACTACACAGAACTAGACAGGGCAACTATTAGCCCAATTGCAGGTCTGATGTCATGGCTATTAGATAAAGCAACTGTCCTTGCCACGTGTCTTTATGATAATTCTTGCATATCCCTTTCAGTAAAGAAATGTTTAATTTTCTCCTGTGTTTTTCGAAAGGTATAAAGCACCATTTGTTTTCCTCTTCATTTTGCCTCTCAGGACTTGATCACTCTCGACCGCAGAGAGAAGATGCATACCAACCTGTGCCCCACGATCATTCACAAGCTCCACAGACCATCTGCCTTCGTATTGTATCCAAACAAATATTCCTCCATCTGCATCGCAGGTTGCTAATTTCTGGAATGGTTCGTTCCATCTCACCAGCACAACCTTAAAAGACGACAAACAAAAATGACATTAGCAAACCCACGTGTTGTGCTAACAACTATTTAACAAGAACCAGTTAAGCAAGACTGCAAAACAAACATCGCTGCATTTAAATCCTGAAGATGTACAAAACAGCAATTTTCAGCGCAGCGTTAGGCGCCTCTCAAGAACAGCTGGAATCGTTTTGTCATGGCTGGCAGGAAACGCACAATCTCTCACCGTCAGGCCTTTTTGGAAGGCATCGCATGCTTTCAATAAAATCATACTCTACGCTGGAACGCAGGGCTTCATTACAGAGGCAGCAACCAGGAGGCCCTGTCCAGACCATCCAACGCTGCTTCCAACGATTGCCCTCTCCGTAACCTCACAAACCATCAGCCTCTATGTCAAGTCATCACCTCTTGCTAACTTCAAATGAGGTTGCATACACCGGTATCAGATTGAATTCAAATACTCAGATCAACAGTGACATGAAAAAAAAAAAAAAAATCAGAATCCCAAATTATTAAAAAATAGAAATTTCATAGAAAAGTGGCTTTGCTACTGAGTGCAGAAGGAACACAAAGCAGTTTTAGGTTCTTCTTTCTGCATTAGAGCTATCTGGGCTTTTCTGGAGAATATAATCAAGTCTATACCTACCATATTGCACTCTCATTTCTAATTAATACCAATCTAACAAATACAGTATCTCTTCAGACCTCAGTATAAAACTGAAAAAAGCATGTCATCCTACTGTGTGAAGCAGAAATTAGCAGTAAAACCATTCAGCTTCTGTTAGCGACTTTTTCTTAAAAACTTTTTTTTTCCAAATAGGTTTTATTTCAAAAACACGCAAATATAAATAGGATGCTTACATTCATACACAAGGGGATTCCCCCCAGTTATTTTGCTGAGACACAACATACACAAACAAAGAAAACACATATTAAATAGTCAATCAGTAGAGCGTTATTTTAACTACTTAATGGGCACCCAGCTCTAACGATGTTTTTTTCATAAATCTAAAGAGATAATTAATCATCTAAAAGAGACAGAAAGCGAAGATTTTGCTGAGATATATTTTGCTGTTTACAGAGATGGACTGATCCTCCTGAAGACTCCAGTCCTAAGATGAGCTCTGAGTAGACAGACCCTTCACGCTTCACAATGAAATCAGCATTTTCAGAATTAAGATATAAATACGCATACCTGAAACCTAAACCTGACAGCTGAAGAAGGATGATCTTACACTTATTTGGTGAGTGCTACACTTATCCACAGAGTGTCAGAACTTCAGAAGTGGAGCTCACCAGCCTGAAGCATCAACAACAACTGAACAATTAAAAGACGGCAAGAAAAGTGTTTCTTCATGCATACATAAAGATTATGGGGAGAAGCGAGTATGACAAACCACCTCTCTGCTGTTAAGCAGCTAAGAAGAATCCCATTTGAGATTTTGCAGAAAACCACTGGCTTCTACTTGATTAGAACCTTGCAGCTGCACTCCAAGTCGCCAGTCCTGTCTCCAGTTGGGTAAATTATGCCATTAGATGGATTACATCACACGCTGCTTTTTTTTTAAGATTTTTTTATTGGAAAAGAAGTAAACAGAATATCCCATCATAGTAACACAAGCAGCTATACTTGGGTAGAGGTTTCACTTTGTCCCTTCCATCTAAACAAGAATAGGATGGATTTGTCAAAATTTTGTGTTCTTTTTGGTGTAATTCCCATGCACAGAGCCATCATTTCATCCACCTTGAGGCAAAATGCAACAACGATGTAACTGTACTTGCCAGTAATGCCTAACAGTATTACAAAAGAAGCAGAGAAAGCCCATGGATAACACCGAAAAACCTTCAGCTTTAAAGGCTGGGAGCCACTAAGGCTAGCAATGACTGTTAATGAGTGGAAGGTACTTATCACCACTAAAAACTGGACCTTTAATGCTCAGACACTGCTCACGTGGGACATTACATAGATCGTACAGAATAAATTGCTAGAGAAAACTTAGGAACAAACGATAAAACTAATTGTTCAAATAACATGTTTTTTAGCACCATCAAAGGTGCTACTATCCGTCTTAAAATTGCCCTATTTTGTCTGCCAAAGATTTGAGATGAGCATATGATTTTACAGGTTAGACGTACCAGTTGATTTAATAATACGAATTATGGGCAAAGTGACACCAGTTAGCTTGATGTGGTTTGTCTCTTTTCTGTTTTAAACAGGAATCTTGTTAAAACTTGAAGATAACTTTTGATTGAAATTCTGTACAACCTGTCCTTTCTTTGGATTTGATAAAACGTCCAAGGGTACATTTCAATGGAAACTAGAGCCTCCCTCCCTCCACCCCAATTAGATACAAACTAGTAACTTCCAAAATAAACTGACAGCTTTATAACCACAAATTAAAGTGAGGCAATGTTTTTATATGCCTTCTCATAACATCCTCATAAGGAAGCAAATTTGTAATTTGAAAACTCAGCTTCTTTAAACACGGAGGAAATGTTATCATTTTATGAGGTCATTTTAAAGATGCGTCCATCGTTTACATTTGACATGTGACTACAGGTGCTGAGTTCGCAGCTGCTCCGAGCATTTCCAATTTCATTTCAGACACTTAACATATTGAAGCAGAGATAAAGAAAGGAAGAAGGACTGCCCTAAGTATTAAGATGCCTTTTGGCTTTTATATTGGCTAAAACGTAAAGCATATGAAACCGCGGCCCATTGATAGCACGCTTAAATAACGCATAAGCTTGAATTACCCCTCCGCAAAGAGGAATTTTATTGCTAACCCATAAACACAAAGGTATCATTACTTTCACTAACAGCTTCAACTCGCAGGGGACCCACTTTTAGCTCTGCCTTTATGGTGCTCTGCTTCCAACGTAGCATCTTCACACAGGTACTGAAGGACTAAACAGTTTTATGTTGCCTTGAAAGAGCAAAAACATCGGTGTGCCAAGGAAAGGTGCCTGTGGACCATCTGCGGTCCCCACAGCTTTTGTCTACCGCCTAATTATTTTGCTTTGGTTGCTCTTTGTTTGTGGGGTTTTTTTAAAATAGTATAAAAATCACAAACTGTGTTTGTCCTACTCTAGACAAAATTTCTATCACAGACTTCTAAACTGTTAAATCAGCTTCTAAACTGCTCTCTCGTACAGGAAATAATCTCCCACAAATAAAACTTCAGGGAACTGCTGGCCTAATACATTAAGTACAGCGCAGAGGCCAATATGTTGCCCCCAAACAGGACGCTTTCCAGAGAGTTCAATGAGCTTTTGAATCAGGGTCTTATGTGTTCTTTGAGCTCCTTTTTATACAACGCATGGCGGTGAAAAATTTGTTTCAAAAGTGCAGCCTTCAGTATCTTCACTAGTTCTGTTTTAATCATCAACTTCACTTTCAGAAATTAAACTTAATTAATCCTAAAGGTGCTAGGAACTCTCCCCAAGAACTGACTGCATACTATAGTGCTGCAAACACAGCAGAATCAGCAAAAAATAAAACCTTCAAAAATTATTTTCATCACAAATTAAGGATATGCAAGGATTTGTTATCCTAATTATTAAAAAAACTTACTTATGCATAAAATTCAGAGGGAAAATATTGTTAACTTACACTTGGGAGACAAACCTGTGCATTCATTTCCAGTACTACAGACTAATCAAGAATGAAATAACTGATAACATTTCTCAACTAAAAAAGTTGTGCAAAGATAAATTATAGTTTATGAGCCTGAGTTACTTCCCTGTACTGTTCATCCTCACACATGCTCCATTTGCAAAAGGCTTTGTCTGGTGGCAAAGGAAGCATTTGTATTATTCTAATTGGAAAAACAACAGACAATTTTTTTTTCTTTTTTAACATCTCTTAATTATGCTTTAAAATTTCCATTTTCATTCACTCTAATGCTTTTTAGTCCACTACTGCAAACAACAAAGCAAAGTCCAACCATTCTCTGGCCCGGAAGATGTTTCTTAGGAAGGCACCTCCACCGAAAGACCATCGTGCAGCTAGCAATGTTATTATTTATTAAAATCTTAGACAAGAAATTTTGAGTTACTGCAATTTTCAGAGTAGCCCATATGTGACTGATAGCAAATGTGACCTCTTCCCAACAGAAGCCAGGTTTGGTGATTTAAATTTATCATGTGCTATTAGCACTTTTATTAATTTTTCCACATTTTCTAACATGATACAAGTCCTCTAAAATCCAAAGCATTCTGAGAGCTTTTGTTATTCCTAATTTCATTACAGTTTTTGAAGGAGATGACCAAGAATATGATACCAATCAATCTTCCAAGAGCAGGAGTCCTTAATCTAGAATACCATACAAGTCATTACTGAAATCTTACCGCTGTAGTTCCTAAAATATACAGTACATAATTGCTATAGAGGCAAGGGACAAACATCTATAAAAAATAAACAGAGCAGTTAGCTCCTAGAGTTCCTTACCCAATTTAGATAGATTTCATTACTGATACACTGTAGTGTGTCACAGTCAGTCTCTTTTTTTATTCTCTGATCCTCCATCCATTTGACTGGGGAGCAGGCATACACTCTGAAGGTAGAGGTCTTCTCCAGCGTTCATGTTCACACACGCGATGGAGATGTGCTTGCAGATGGGACTATCGTGGCAATAGAGAGTAGAGAATACCTGATGGCAAATACCTGATTAGAGCACAATGTGCTACACCTGGAAAGGCACGCTCCTTTATCCGGCATGAGCATTTCTGAAACTACAAGTGAAGTAGGCACCTTTGCAGGGTGCACAGGGTGTCACACATGGTAACTCCATCGAGCATATACAATACCAAATATTCTACGGAATTGCTGGCCTCCCCCCACCCCCCGCAACAAATAATACTGCATTTCTAATGCTATTGAAAGTGCTGATCTGCATCCACCCTCCAAGCAGCGACAGCAAAAGACCTAACTGATCTAGGGCAGAAAAAGAAAACCTAATAAAGGAGATGAGGCTGTTGCCTACAGCAGTGGAGTACAGGACTCTGGCT